GGCTTACAACCCTGAGACTGTTCAGATTTGTGTTCTGAGTAGCAGACACTGAGAAAGTCAGTATCAGTTGGAAGGTAGAGAAATAGATCATGATTGGGCAGTCGATATGGGGTGTTAGTGAAGAGGCTACCACTTGGACAAGGGGTACAAGATCTCCCTTGGAGCAATGCTTCAGGTTGTCCCATCCAAAGGGTAAAGAGCTGCAGACTTTCTGGGACTTGGGTAGGTGTTGTGTCTTTGCCTCTTTGACCCATCTCTGAAGACTCTATTGCAAAGAAATGGCTAAGTTCCTGTGCCTGGGTTAGCCTAGCGAGGCTCCTGTTGATCTCCTTTATATCACTGCAGAAGGTGATATCTGCAGTGTCCAGGAAGTCAGTGACCAATCTCAAGCTACACATGCAGTATCACACAAGTCTGTTCGTGTTTTCTTTGGGACATAATCATGGAAAGCCACTTCTGAAGAACTAAGAGGCTGGATTCTGAACCCAAGGGCTCATCACATTAATCATTGGCAACACCTTTAAAATTTTTCTGTGGGTGGGATGCCCATCATAAGCTGCCACTTTTTGACCTTGAGCACACACCACCAGACATCTCCTCTGAAGGAAACATCAGATGTTTTTAACCATTTGTCACAAAGTTTTGTTATGTGGAATGACAACGGAACATTTTATCAATTCCTCAGGGCCTCATGATTTGGAAGTGCACAGTGGAATTCATGTAGTTGGAGGTAGGGTAGCATAACAGTGGGAAAACTTCAAAATGGTAGCTTCTCAGATGCCGTGCCAAAGCTTTCTTGAGGTGGATGGAGTTCTGGGCTTACTCTGCTCTGAAAATGAAGGGCAGTTTCTGTCAAATCCTTGTCCTTATCCACAGTTTCTTCCTCAGGCATCAGTCTGAGAAATCCCAAGGCTTCCAGATCTCTATGTTTTTCTGTCTTTGGGATTTTCACTATCCCATAGGCTTAATGGGGTCTTCATTTGGCTTGATTGTCCCATAACAATATTTTCAATCCATAACACAGATTTATGCCAATCTGAGTAGCTCTTGTCTTTCAGGTGGAATCAGTTCAGCAATGTCAACCTCCCTGCCAAGGCTAAACGATCCAGCCTTTTGTTCAGGAAGCAACAGTGAGTATGATTGTGTGGTCAATATGGGGGACCTCAACATGAAGTCAGCACTCTCTTGCACTGTTTCTGTACCAAATACCCCATCTCTTTGGTCCGATGGAACATCAAGCTATCCTAGATAATACAAAAATTTGTCTTGCTCCAAGATGCTCCCAGTGGTGGTTGAATATGCACATCCTCCATAAGCTCATGAATTTAAACCCTTGGTTCCCAGATGGTGGCACTGCTTAGGGAGGTTCAGGAGGTATGGCCCTTTTGCAGGAGTATGTCACTGGAGGAAGGCTTTGAAAGTTTAAAGAGCTGGAACATTTCCAGTTGCTCTATCTCCTTCATGCTTGCCAGTTGAAGATTCTCAACTTTCTGCTCCATTCATCATGCCTGCTGCTTGTTACCCTGCCTCTCCCACCTCTGCTTCCCTTTCTACAGGTAATTATTCACTTTTCTTATTTATTCCATTAAATAACAAATGAAATATTTAAAAAATTTGCCACTCCCAGTGTTTTAGATAAATGCAACCAGTTATATGCATCTCTTTCCACTATGAACTGCCCCAGAGATGACTCCATAGTGGTGAATGTTGATACTCACATTTCTCAGTGTCCCCCAGAGAAGCAGAATCAGTGTGACGATAGGTTGATGATGGTGATGATCAATAGATAACATGTTATAAATAGCTGATTGACAGACAGGTGGCAAATGGTAGATGACAGATAGGGCTTATTGCAATGGATTGGCTTAGGCATCTACAGAATCTGGTAAGTCCCAAAGATCTTCAGGGCACACGGACAGGCAAGAGACTCAGAAGGGCCAATGGTGCAGTTCCAGTCTGAAGGATGATGTATCCATTTGCAATAACGTGAAAGAGAAACCAGTGCTTCAATCCCGAGGAAGGATCAGGAAGGGAGAGTTCCGCCTGACTTCAGTAAATGACAAATTTTGAGCTTTCTGCAAACCTTCAACCAATTAGATGAGGCCCACCTACATTAGAGAAGATAAGTTGCTTTTCTCAGCTCACTGATTTCAGTGTGATTATTCTCACCCAGCAGTACCCTCACAGAAACAATGTGAACAATGCAATTATTTTGAATCAAGCATCAGGGCATGCAAAAATCCCATCAAGCTGACTCATAAAAGTTAACCTTTGTACTGTACTGTTCTTCATTCCTTTTAGTGACTCCATTGTATGGATGTGCTGGTCTAATAAAGTGGTCTCCTATTGGTGGGTGTTTTGACTCTTTAAAACCTTTCACTATCACAAGCCATTCTGTAATAAATAACTGTGCATATGCATATTTCATCAGTTTTTCACTGTGAGAGATGACTTCTGAGAGATAAGACTGTGAGGTGAAAGGGTAAATGTATATGTGATTGCCTGTCCTTAGGGTCTATGGAATTAAAAAAAACTTGGATTTAGTTTTTTCTTTAATGTGTATGAGTGTTTTGCATGTATATGGGCGTGTACATGTATATGTATATACCTTGTGTGCATCTGGTACCCTTGGGGTCAGAAGAAGAGGTTGGATCCCCTGGAAGTAGAGTTACTGATGGTTGTGAGCCAACATGTGGGTTCTTGGAACTCCACCTGAGTCCCCTACAAGAGCAACAAATGCTCTTAACTGTTGATCCATCTCTCTAGCCCTAGGGCTATACCATTTTGTAGTTCCCCACAATTTCTGAAAGCACCAGTTCCTTTGGGACACACGTGTTCAGTATAGGTCAAAGAAAATAGCGCTATACTTGACCATTGTGGCTGGTCTAACACCATTCTCCCCGTGAGAGGAAGTGGGAAGTTTGTGAAATGCTAGGACAAAGATCTGTCTTCTGGCATGGCTCAGCTGACTGCTGTAAGCCTTGAGTCTCTGGAAACTACCCCATAGAGAAAGACTAGTGGGGAAAGAGAGAAAAAAAAGGAATAAAGAACCACAGAGAGAAGCCTGACATAGAGCCCAGCTGGACCAGAATCAGGGGCCAGTTCTGTGTTTTTCAGTCACAAAAGCAAAAAGTTAATTTCTTAAATTTCTACTTTAATTTGTCTTCCCTGCAAGCAAGACAGTCTTCCCTGATGCAACGGCTGCTTAGAGTATGGTCTTCGTCTCATAAGTGTGTTCAGGATTAATGTGTGGGCAGCCAAATAGAGAACACCACAGCATAGCCCAGTGCCAACTGCTATATCTTAGGTATCTAGAGATGGAGTCCTACGAGTCCTTCAGAACTCAGGGAATGAGTCGTGAAACAGAAGAAACATGAAGTGAACCTTGAAGTGATGGGATCTGGGCTGGTAAAAAATCCCACTCAGTGCCCCCATATTCACCAGTCCTGGATTCCGAGCTGAAGCAAGAGCCCCTGGCTTTGCCTGGTCCTGCTCTCAGATGGGAGCAAACCTCCCTGAGACACCCCGAGAGCCAGGCAGGGTACTTTCACTTATGTTCTGGACAAAGGAGTTTACCGTCATAAGGCTTTTAAAGGCTAGCTGATTCTACTTGGGTTTCCAAAGACAAGCAAACTGCCACCGCCCAGATGTCTGGGGGCACCTGGTCCTCAGGGAAGTTCATAGCCAGCTGTGTAGTGATGTGGCGAGAAGACTCTTTCAGCCTGGGATAGACTTAATTCTCTAAGCAGACACCGATCCAAACTTTCTATACAGATAGAGCTGAGGGCAGCGGTTCTCAACCCTTCCTGATGCTGTGACCCTTTAATACAGTTCCTCCTGTTGTGGTGACCCCCAGCCATAATTATTTTGTTGCTACTTTGTAACTGTCATTTTGCTACTGTTACAAATTGCAAATATCTGATGTGCTCCCCCTGTGAAAGGGTTATTTTTACTTCCAACAGGGTTGCCATCCACAGGTTGAGAACCACCGACTTAGGGACAGCTATTTGGCTAGGAGGAGGATTAAGGGACTTATGCTGGCGCTTGCTCAGTGTGTCAAGCCACCCAATGTCACTTAAGTTGAATGTTACTTTGGGGTGGATTTGTAGAGACACGGGTAGATATTATAAGGAAACTAAAGATTGCCATCCCTTGGCACCATCCTTCCTTATGACCCAGATATCCTATAGACAGAAGAATCTAGCAAGAATGAGGCTCAAATAAAGCCAGTGCAGGGAACCTTGACCTCATCTAGTTTGTTTTTAGCAATACTTGTTTTCATAGGCCAGCCAGGCAGTCTCTGTTAGAAAGAATAACAAGGCTGTTGAATTCAAAGGAAGGGCTGCTGTTTCTACTGCTGTCGTTTCTACTGGAATCCCTGAAGCAGCCCTGATATCCAGACCCTGACCTGCATCCCCAGATGGCTGTGGTTATAGAAAATGCCTCCATCTGTCCAGCCGTGAAGATGTGGTTATCACATCATTGGCCCATCTGCAGAGATTGTGGAATTTACGACTCTCAATAGTTCACTGAATGGAAACAGATGTTTTATCAGAAATTCATTGTCAAAGAGAAACATTTAATACTGGCAATTAGCAAAGGAAAACGAGGTCAAAGTACCCAATTCAAACAGAGATTCTTCCCCACAGGATGAGTGTGACATAAAGTCGTGAACTGAAACTCTCTCTGCTTTGTTTTTCAGTGTGGACCCAGGGAAGTTCCTGGATATGATTTGGACAATGGAGAAGACCTCTGTCAAGAGCATTAATACACACACACACACACACACACACACACACACACACACACACACACACACATACCAGTGAAGAGATGAGCCAAATGCCTGAGTATCTACTTGGGGAATCAGCTGTTGGTATTATGGGATATTACAATTAATAACCACTGGATTTTTCCCAGGCATTGGGTCACATCATTTGCATGTACTTGGATGCCAGGGAGGGTTATGGCAGCAAGAAACCCAATATTCTCTGGATGGTAAATTTTTTTTGAGAATTATTTATTTTTATGTTATGTATATGGGTGTTTTGCCCGCACATATGTCTGCGCAGTAGGTGCATGTAGTGCCATGGAGGGTGTCTGATCTCCCAGAACTGGAGTTACAGATGAATTTGACCCGGGTCCTCTGGAAGAGCAGCCAGTGTTCTTAATCGCTGAGCCATCTCTCCAGCCCCTGGAAGGTAAATTCTGGATGGAACAACAAAATGAAGGGAAATGAGGTTTTTCCTGCTTAGGTCAAGTTCATGCAGTGCACCGAGGAAGAGATAAACTTACCATGTGATTCCTGAAAAAGGGGAGTGTTTGTGAGACCGCTGATCCCTGCTGTCATCTGGAATCATGTGGCTACGTGACAATTTCCTTCCTCTGCAAGAAATGCAGACTTTGGGATTGGGTGTTATCTTTAAAAATTGGGACTGCTCTAAGAAGAGCTGTCCCTACGCTTGCTCTGGTGGCATCCGTGTCCAGTAGTTGCTTTTTGGCAGTGGGACCCGAGTTTCTAAAGAGGAGAACAAGGAATTTTGTTTGGGTTTGAGGTTCCATTCCACTCCACCAGCTCCCTAGCAGGGTTTCACTGTACACAGTGCCCAGGTAGGCTCGAAGTCGCAATCCTTTTGTCTCAGTCTCTTAAGTTCTGGGATTGTAGGTATGCATTAATACATTAGTTTGTTTGCTTGTTTTTGCATATGTGTGTGTGGTGCACATGCATGTGTGTGTATATAAACAGGGTCTCACAACAGAACCAGAGCTTAACAAGTCACCTTGCGGGTGGGGGTCCCCATCTCTGCTCCCTGCACACTGTGATTACAGGACACCATGGCCACCTGGTATTTATGTGGGTGCTGAGGACCTGGATTCCAGTCCTCATGTCGCTTTACTTTTTGAGCCCTCTCCTCGCGCTCCTCCACCAATTAGGCTTTAACCCCCCCAGGCTATCCTCATGGGGTTTAAGCAAGCAAGTCACACCCCAGTGAGGGGTAAGTCAGTCATTTTCCCTTCTCTAAGCAGCCAGCTGGAGCCTCCTGCTTCTGTGTGCCTCTGTCCCAGAAGTCCACAGAGGGCTCTGTAGCCTGCAATGTGGTCATTTCAAATTATTCCCTTCAATAGTGCCAGTTTTTCCCCCTTTTCATACTGATTACTACAAACTAAAACTAAATCATGCCGCTTATGTATCTCTCTATGAAGAGAAAATTCTTGCAGTTCCAACATAAACCCTGAAATTATCAATATCCATAGCATAGACAGTCAAGCCAGGAAGTTAAAGCTGCTTATCAAATAATTCCAATTTCAAATATTCTATCCCTTTGTCTCTAGAAATCATTAAAGTATCTAAAAATACCAATATTTTAACTTCAGCTACGTGACAATTAAAAACCCAGGAAGTGTTACAACGCCTTTATTTAGAAATCACTTAGGATCAACAATGACTCTGCTATAGTTTACTGTGACATCTGTGCACACTGCTCCATATGCTTGGTTTACCCCTGCAGTGTTTATATTGTGTAGTTAGGTTTTGTTTTTTGGGTTGTAAAGCTTGTGAACATCTTAGTGATGTAAACAGGACTCTGAGTGGGAGCTAACATGCTAAGGATGACAAAATTCTCAAGTCAGTTGTACATTACTCAAATTTAAGACTCTATTACTCAATTATAAAATGTTGGAGCTAGGGAGGTGGCCCAGTGGTTACATGCTTGCTTCACAAGCATAAGGAATTAAATTTAGATTCTTTGTACCCCCTTTTTGTCTAAATAAAAAGGAAAGGTTTTAACTCTAACATAATAAAACCATAAACAATAAGAACAGCTATCAGATAAGAATTACATTCACAATATCCAGTCCATTTTTATTTGGCAAATTCAGAGAAAATGATCTATTATCTATCTTATCTTGATGAATTTAAAGTTTTATACCTAAACCATTTTCTATCATAACTTGTATTACCATCTTAAAACTGTCTTTTTAGACCTCAAACATTTTTTAGACAAACAATTTAAGCTTTTATGTCTCTCAATATTATACATTTTATACCTATTTGTGAGTTTCTTTTTTGAATTTGGTAATAAGGAAAACTGTAACAATAGCTATTTTGTCTCAACTCCATCAGAGACCCAAGAAGAATATAATATTACCTGAGTAAACAGGAAGTACAAAGCAAACAATTTCCAAAACTAAGAAATGACAGAAACAGCCTGCTGCCTGGACAGTATTCCAAGGTACCTCTGTAACACTGGGGCATCCATCTTTGGCCTATAGGCCTATAATATCTGACAGACTTTTCTGTGAAGCAGAAAATTTGAAGGACTGTCTCACCTTGTCTTGGCAAAGTTTGTCTTCTTTTGTGTCCTGCTTGTCCAATTTGGACAACATATTGTCAGCAATCGAGGCAAGGGCAGTTTCTTTGCCCAATGGCTAAATTTGCCACAAGTGAAAGCAAACTCCATATGGAGGTTTTTAAATGCACATCATCCTCTTTTGGACTAAAGCAATGCTGTCAGGAGCAGATATGTCTCAATGTCATAAAAAGCCTTATGTTATTAAAACATTAAAATGCCATATTCTGTAGGTCTTGGAAGTGCTTGAAGACCATCTATTTATTTAAAATATGTGTTTGACCTTTGTAGACAAATTTCTAAACAGTCTTATTAAATAAGAAACACAGAGCCAAATACAGGGGTGAAAGTCGTAGAAATCAAAGTGATAGTGATAGCCACCAAACTAACCTTAGCTCACCATGCTACCATAGTTTCCCAAGAGAACCAGCTTCTTCTTGTCTAACCTGTACCTTTATTGCCTTGCTGTTCTGCCTTCTCATTGGCTCTTAGCCCAGCTACCTCAATTCCTCGTCACTGCCTATCTATACAGACCTCCAGGTCTCTAAGGTTGGTATTGGGATTAAAGGCATATGTCACCACGATTGACTGTGTCCTTGAACACACAGAGACTCTGCCTGCCATGTGATCAGATTAACGGCATGTACTACCACCGCCTGACTTCTGTTTATAGCTGGCTATGACCTCTGATCTCCAGGCAAACTTTATTAACATACAAATAAAATATCACCACATTTTAGCACAAATAAAATATAACCACAGACCTTGAAAATATGTTTAATATTGCTATTAGCTTGATTGTTATGAATGACTGACTATTAAGCTGTATTTCTTTATTATCCTAAATAGCTTTCAAGGACTAGAACTTTACATTACATTTTTAAATGAGCTGCATAGGTACAATACCTTAAACAAGAAATAGAAACATATAATACAGTATAACAATATAACCTTAAATTTATATCAAGGCACGAAAATATCTTAAACATGAGTAGAAACATAAATACATTGTAACAAAAATAACCTTAAATTTGTATCAATATAAAAATATCTTAAGAGTTAAAAACACACATAGAGTATGTTCTAACAAAAATAACCTTACTCTATACCAACATAACGTATTTGAGATTAATAGTTGCTTTTTAGTTTAAAATAGATTCAATAATCTGCCCTTTTGTCCTATCATTCCTACATTCCCCTTTTTCCTTTTCAGAAAGAGATCCTGAGTCTAACCTCCTTTGCTTAGTTCCCTCCCTGACCATGACCAATAACAACTTGTAACTGACCCCCTTAAATGATGATAAACATCCATAACTCACCTACTGATCAAAAACCATCATCTACTCCACTTCTTGGGAATGTGGGCATTGTGTTCTTAAAACTACTTCCTGTTGTCTGGGGGTGAGAACATCTTTAGGGGACTCTGAGAAAATTAAGATAATGGTCAAATCCTAGGGAAGCTAGCTGTTGTCCAGTCTCAGTGGGGTGGGATAATGTAAGGCTTATCTGAAGTCATGGTGGGAGTAGTCTATGAGGCTGGACCATCTTAGCTAACCATCTTGAAATTGTCCTGAGTAGTTTGTAGTCCAAAGCTGATCTTTGGATGGTGCTTGTCAGCTTAGTAGCATTACCACAATCCGGGGTAATTGTCATTGTGGGGCCCCCTCATCTTTTTGGAGACTTCAAAGGTTGCTGTTAGGAATGTTCACAATTCACTTCGGAAAACTTAACATTTTAAATGTCATATGTAGCAGGTCTTAGAGAGGTTAAAGGACTGTACTCTATTAAGTGCATCTGGGATACACAGCCTTAATTCTTAATTACTTGCTTCAGACTCAAGCCTGAAATCACATACAGGAAGTTAGGTGAAACCTAAATCTAGGATTAGTACTCTATATGACCATTAATATCACAACAGAAAGTTTAAATATACATACATATAGTAATCTTATAAATTTTGAGATAATACCTTAAGAAAAGTTTTAAAGAGTTAAAATAAACTCAAGGGATTATGAGATCAGTGACACTAGAATAGTCCCTTAATTTTGGTTTTCTTTTGTCCCATACCAGGTAGCTCTTCTGACATGAAACAGAGACTTTGGATTTTCTTTTAACAAGCATGCTTGGGTTTAGAGAAGGAGAGAGCCACACTCCAACTCCAAAGCTAGCTTTAATTTTTAATTGGGTTGGGACTACATAAAGACCATCTGCCTAACATGTCGTAGAGAATATCAGAAACAAACATTTTGAAAGATTTATGAGATTTTATCCTGTTGGAAGTGTGCTATACCATCAGGCCAATTTACTCCTTTTCTTGAGACATTTTCTCTGGACAGTTCTCACTTTTCTTTAGAGATTTCATTTGTCCAGGGTCTTCAGATTCCTTAGTTGGATGCTTTTATTCTCCTGGAAAGACAAAAACAAAATTCTGCCCCAACCCTAACTTTGGGGAGTTTCCCTTTTTGGCAGGTTATGCCTGATCAAATGAAAGACATTTGTTAAGTCTTAGAAGTTAATTCAGATGGAATGGACATGCAGTTTGATGAACTGTTGACTTTCCTAATCAAGAGGTCTCTCCTGTTCAAATCTAATCTATATCAATCTTGATGGTATCCATGGCTTTTCTTCTCCTGTGGAAATAAAAGCAAAACCTCTTCCCCAAAGTAACACTTATCTTGGTTCTGAGGTCAACACAACTTTAACATATACAGGCTGATTTAATTCTGTCCTTCTGGCCCTACACACTTGACCCATCTTGTACTTTGTTTTACCTGAGATAAAGTTCCAATCCCAAGAAGCTGAACATTTACTTCCTGAAGAGACCCATCTGGATGCCAAGATTTTAGTAAAATTATTGTTACACCTGTGTCTGTGTCAACTAAACCTTCAATTACAATGCAATTTACCCATATTTTTAGCTATGGTCTTTGGTCATTTATAGAAATTTGCCAAAATATTTATTTTATGGTTTTTCCTGAAAATTTTGCTTTATCTACTGAAGCTCTTCTGTCATTCAGAGCAGTATGGTTTTTAACAACAGGCACTAGGTACTTTTTTTTTTTTTTTTTTTGGTTTTTTGAGACAGGGTTTCTCTGGAACTTTTCTGGAACTCACTTGGTAGCCCAGGCTGGCCTCGAACTCACAAAGATCCGCCTGCCTCTGCCTCCCGAGTGCTGGGATTAAAGGCGTGCGCCACCACCGCTCGGCTACACTAGGTACTTTTATTGCTCTGTGGAGGAGTTTCCCCCATGTTGACAGGGAATGATTAAACCAAATTTGATGTTGGGGCCTGTAAGAGGCCCCCTAAGGTGTTTTCCAATGCAAAGGGTTACTTGTCCCTTGATGATCTACATTCATTAGTTCAATGTCAGCCTTTACAGTACCGTCTGCATACTCCAGAAGGCTGGGGCCTACTGTTTGGATTATCGCTAGAAAAACATTGTTTCTAGGAATTCCTTGCTTACAATCCAGTTTTAGATTACCTTGTTTATCACAATTGAAACATCTGACCATTTGATTTTTATTGATGTGTTTTGGAAATCACCTCTCCTATACAAGTATCATCATGTGTATAAGGTCCAGTATCAACTGTGTTTTTGGATCCATTCATTTATGGGTGCTGATCTTGTCTTTAAAGTCCTGATCGCCCTCTTGCATTGTGAATTAGCATTTTCTTTTTCTTTTCTTTTCTTTTCTTTTCTTTTTTTTTTTTTTTTTTTTTTTTTTTTTTTTTTTTTTCAGTGTGGGCTGCATAGTTAGACTGTCAAA